TGACTCCCAGTTTGTGTTGAAGTGGATGGTGTGAGTCAAAAAGCAGGTATTGGTCTGTGTGTAGGTTTCCGATATGCTTCTACCTTCAGGCTTCTGTCCCATCCCAAGTGGACTGCACAATCCAGAAAGGCCAGACAGTCATCTCTGGCATCCTCACGAGAGAATTTGATGTTGTCATCCACAGAGATGATATGCTTGGTAAAAGACTCTACCTTCTGGGTCCTGATTTTAACCCATGTGTCATCCATATAGCGGTAACAGTAAAGGAAGACAGGACTTTCTCCTCAATTTCTTCCATGTACAGGTTGGCAACTATAGGAGACACCGGGGAGCCCATAGCACAACCATGTTGCTGCCTATAGAAGTGCCCCCTAAACTGGAAGTAGGTAGTGTTTAAATAGAGTTCCAGCAGAGCGCATTCATGGTCTGGGGTGAAGTTAGTCCTGCTGTTCAGCATGTCATCCTTCAGCAGTCTCTTCTTCACCGCCCTGACAGCCTCTGTGGTGGGGATGCAAGTGAACAAGGATGTGACATCATATGAGACCAGAGTCTCGTCCTGGTCCAGCTGCAGTTGTTGGACTTTCCTTGCGAAGTCCTGGGAGTTTATTATGTGGTGCTGTGTGTTTCCCACCAAAGCAGCCAGGATGGTGGCCATGTGCTTGGCTATGTTGTAAGTCACAGAGTTGATGCTGCTGACAATGGGTCTGAGTGGGGCTCCTTCTTTGTGTATTTTGGGTAGGCCATAAATGCAAGGGATGGCCTCCCTGGGGTATAGTCTGTAGTATAGTTGCCGGTCAATAACTTTTTCTAAGTTTTTTCAGCAAGGTATGAAGTTGCATATGAACACATGCAATCTCACCGTTTAGCACCAGAAATTGAGCCACAAAACCTGTAAGTCTCATTGGAGCTTTGCCAAAGCACACCTGGAAGATTCTGAGGCCAAATGGAAAAGGGTGCTATGGTCATATGAGACAAAAATTGAACACTCTGGCCTCAAGGGCAAATAGTATATCACCATACTATAGTATGGTAAGAACACCATACCTATACTAAAGCATGAGGTGGCAGAGGTGCCCCAGTCCCTCTTCAGTAGGGACTGGAATATTTGTCAGCATTAAAGGGGAAATAGATGGGGCAAAGTACCATCAAATTCTTGAGTAAAACCTGCTGCCTTCTGACAGAAAGTTGAAGGTGGAAAGAAGGTTCACCTTTCAACGTGACAATGACCCACATCACAGCCACAGTGATTTTTTTCCAAATCAAATTAATCCTTTTTTCAGAACTGTTGTTGTTTTTTCTTTCACTTGTAAGTTGTAAGTTGCATTGAGTAAATATAGCTGCAAAAATGGTTTTTGTTTTGTGTGTGTGTGTGTGTTTTCATGTGTGTTTTCACACTAATGCTGATATTGGTTTAAACTCTCCACTCCTTTTGCCTTTGTATAAAGCACAAAATAACTTCACACAGGGTTAACAGATCAATCCTCAAACTTCTTTGTAAAAACAAACCGGCTAGATCAGAATAAACAGGACTTCATATGAACCTGATATCATAAAGTCAATCTGAATTGCATAACCCATATTTGAAGAACAGTGCACAAGCATCAAATGAGACACCCATGTAGAACATTGTACCCTGGGCATACTCCAAAACTGCTCTGGCCTAGTGCTTGTGTTTGACAGATATTTTACATGGTTTGAAGTGGTTGAAAAATGCTGCAGTGTCTGCTCACACAAAGAAAAGGATTCAAGTATCTTACAGCGCCTCCAACCAGAAAATAAAAATGATTAAACTTAAGAAACAAAAAGAATAACATGGGAGCAATTACAGCTAAAGTTGAGCTTATAGCAAAACTACAAACATAATAAACAATTATTTAGCAACAAACTCATTATTTTAATTGTTAATTGTAGCATTAATGTATGACAGCCCACATGCTTAAGATCATCTCATATTCTTTGATGAATTTATATACTATTTAAGCAATTTAACACTAATGCTTTTTGGGGTGAGCAAAGAGGAACATCCCAATTTAATGGTCAAATTATTCTGTTATTGTTGATAAAGGCATTTTACTTCTCTTTGTTTTTTGTCATAGATGGACAGTGGGTCTGTGCAGTAGAGCCATTTCTCCCACTAACTGAATTCATACAATCCATACACTGACATCAAATGTTGACTATGATCACGGGGTTTAAGGCAGTGAACGTCAGTCCCAATGAAATCCAAGTTTCAATGTAATTCTGTCCTGTCATGTGATACCTTTGGTTGTAACTCCAATCCAGTTCAGGTATCTGGTAAGCTTTTTAGAGATGTAGGTTTTACCTCGTGCTGGGAGTCCGACCATCACTATCATGGTTGGGGAGTTGGTGAACTGGGGCACTGATGCTGAAACACACAAGCACACAAACAATTTCCATAGAGATTCCATGTTTATGGAGAATTACAAACTGAGCACGCATTATTGAACATTTTCAAGTCTTAACACCTGAGAAGTATCACCTGCTACTCACACTTGGAGTTAGATGAGAAGAGTTCGAGGATTCAAACAAACCTTTATGAAAATTGCTTGACATTTTGAGTTAAACTGCTTTTGCCTTTTGGCAAAGGGTTAAATGAGAAGACTGAAAGCACTCTCAGGACTATATTTACACTTGGTTGGCGGTTTATTAAATACAACAATCTGAAACTACAGTCATAAGAAAAAGTAATGGGACTGTTTGCAATTACCTAGTTTTCTGCATAAATTTGTCATGAAATGCGATCTGATCTTCACCACAATCAGAAATATCAGTATTTCTAAGCTGATAAAACATAAACAGTTGTGATCTTTCATGTCTTTACTGAACACATCCATTAAACATCCAAAGTGATGGTGGAAAAAGTAATGTCAACATGTGGCTTTTGTTGTGGTTTTGGGACTCGCTTGCTGCTGGGCTTTTATTTTGTCTGTTTCCTGTCCTGTGTCACCTCACCTGCCCCAGCTTTAGCTTGGTTTCTAATCACTACTCACTACGCTTGTTATCCTCTGGTCTCCAGCCTATATATTCTCCTTCTCTCCTCAGTCACTTGCGGGTTCAATCGACTAAGTGCCCACTAAACTGGAAGTAGGTAGGGTTTAAACAGAGTTTCAGCAGAGTGCATACATGGTCTGGGGTGAGGTTAGTCCTGCTGCTGAGCGTGTCATCCTTCAGAAGTGTCTTCTTCAATGCCTTGACAGCCTCTGTTGTGGGGATGCAAATGAACAAGGATGTGACATCATATGAGACCATGGACTCGTTCTGGTCCCGCTGCAGATGTTTGACTTTCCTCGTGACGTCCTGGGAGTTATTTATGTGGTTATCTGTGTTTCCCACCAACCCCACCTGTATTTCTAAGTTTTTTAAGCTTACTGTGACCTGGACAACTGAGACTGTGCACAGACATATTAAGAACTTCATCCTAGTCTATGTCTGCATTTTGGGTCCATCCTAGCATTAGACCTGACAGAATGAACTAGCCATGAAGGGACCCAGCAGACCAGGAGAAAGAGTGGAAAATTATAGGCCAGGTGATTAAAACTCTGGGTACACAAATTCTGAATAACCTAGACCCTGTGCAGCACTTAGAGACTTTTGCCAGGATGAAGACCTTTGCCAGGATTGAAGACCTTTGTCAAGCCCGCCTTTGGTTACAGGCCAGACCAGAAATGCCACAGCTGATGGCCCAGCTGGCCGCTATAAAGACCGCAATCACAGACTCCTTAAGTATAGTCAGAGAGAGCAGCATGGACTGGGAAACCATCGAGCCGTGGCTCCAGGCTGTTTTTAGGAATCCCTCTCACGCCCAGCAACCATCACACATGGTAGACCTGCAGTCTCCTCTTGTTCCTGAGGCACAGTCTGTCACCCTCTCGGCTAATATTGGTGTGGTGTCTGTGGCTCCAGCCCCTGACTCTATTCACTGCTCTCCTGTTTCTGACTTGGAGTTCTCACCATTCAGGTGAACCAGGCTGTTTGTCCTGGGAGCTTGGGAAAGAAGAACCCTAAGAAATCTAAGAAGAAGGGTCACCCACCAATAACTCCTTCTGGACAAACAGTGCCTGAGCTGCAGCCTCCGCCTGATCCAGAGCCACAGCCCCAGCCTGCCCTCGAGTTGCACTTCGTCACCCGGAAGAGAGACCAGAGTCGGAGGTGGCAAACAATCCAGTCAATCCCAGGTCTCCAGTATGCTAGTCTAAATGTTCCCCTCTGGTGTAGCTGTTCCCTAGTGTGCTGATGAGAGCATCCCCACCAAAGCTTCCATGCTTCGGTGCGCTGATGAAGATGTCCCTGCTGAGATTCAAGCTCACCAGTTCGTCAGTGAGGAAAGCAGTACTGGGGTTCCAGTACCTGCTCCATGGCCTCTCAGCTAAGGCAACCCCAAAGGGGGTCGACCTTTGGTGTGATGACAAGAGCATCCCCACTGAGGCTCCATACCTACAGCGTGCTGACAGAAATGTCCCCACCAAGGTCCCAACTATCCAAAGTGTCAACAAGTACACCCATGCTTACTCCCCTGACCCTGTGTCTGAGTAGGTTGACACTACTACCATCCCAGCTCTGGAGTGGGTTGACACTGCTTCTGCACCTGGCTCCGCGTGGGTTGACGCCACTGCCACCTCTGCTCCGTAGTAGGTGTAAGCCATGCCTGTTGCTGTTCCCAAGTGGGTCGGATGAGATGCCAATACCCCTTCTGATACTGTTCCTGAGTGGGTCAGTGAGGATTAGCTTGGATGGCAATGCCGCCTGTGTTCGTGTTCTTGAGTAGGTTTGCTGGGATGCCAACACTTGCCTCTGTTCCTGCACCCAAGCAGGTTGGCTGGGACACCAATGCCGCCTCCAGTCCAGTTCCATGTTTTTTTCTGGGTTTCAGTGGGTCAACATCACCACTGTTGCAATTCCTATGCCCCGGTGGGTCACTGGTGGCACCACCACTCCAGTTCCTATGTCCTGGCAAGTAGTAGGGAATGTTTTCATGCCTGCTTCATAGAGCCAGCACTTTTCCTTTTTGTTGCCAGTCAATATAGCTCTCCTGCTGCCACCAGTCCACCTCAGCTCCACTTGCCTGTCTTGTTCCAGCACACATTTCCAGCTGCCATCAATTAACTTCAACTCCACCAGCCAGCCTCGAGCCTACACAGCCCTCCAGCTGTCACTTCAGTTCCAACTGCCAGCTTTGTCCAAGCATCTTCCTCCCATAACTACTTTCCTTCTGTATGCCTGCTCTGACAAAATCTCTCTTCAGCACCAGCCTGCATCTGGCACCACTGCCCAACCGATTTTTCCTGCCTAGTCAGTCCAAGCAGCATCTTGTTCCTCCAGTCTCACTCCAGCCCTACCAGCCTGCCGGCTTCAGTTCAACTTGTCTGTTTCTGCCTTGCTCCAATGCTACCAGCCAGCCAGTTCCACTTTAGCTTCCTGTCTGTCTCAAGGCCATCCTTCAGAATGGCCATCCACCTGAACAACCTCATCAGTTCCCTGCCCGGTTGTGAGGCCGTCCACTTCCACAGCTTCATCAATCTCCTGCCTGGTGCCAAGGAGGTATGTCTGAAAAGTTTCATCAGTTTCCTGCCTGGTTTCAAGATCGCCTACCTGATCGGCTCCTTCAGTCTCCATTTGAGCCCCAAGGTTGCCCACCAGAGCAACCTCCTCAGCTCCCTGTTGGATCCAAAGGTTGACCACCACAGTGGTCGATGTATTCTGCCTGGTCCAGAGGTCATCTGCCAGAGCAGCCACTCCAGCTTCCTGCTGGATCCAAAGGTCATCTATCGGGACAGCCTCATTGGTTTCCTGCCTGGCCTCAAGGTTGTCTACCTGAGTGGCCTCTTCGACTTCCAGCCTGGCTCCAGGATCGTCCACCTGAGTGGCCCTTTCAGTTTACTGCCTGGTCCCAGAGTTGTCCACCCGAGGGGCCTTCATGTCCTGTCTGTTATGGTTTTGTCAAATAATGTCAACTGAATGTGAGTCATGTCTCACAAAAAAGATCTCAGAAGACCTATAATCAAGAGCCGTTGATGTGCATGGAGCTGGAAGAGGTTACAGAGTCATCTCAAAGACACAGTCCACAGTTAGACATAGTGTTTATAAATGGAGACAATTTGATACTGTGGCTACTCTCTATAGAAGTGGGTGCCCAGCCAAGATCACTCCAAAGGCACAAGGCAGAATGATCAGTGAGGTAAGAAAAACCCCTAGAGTAACAGCTAAAGACTTGAAGGATTCACTGGAGTTGGTTAACATCTCTGATGATGAGTCAACCATATGCAAAAAACAGCCACGGTATCCAAAGCAGGGTACCACAGAGGAAGCCATTGCTCTCCAACAACAACACTGCAGCAGGCCTGAAGTTTGCCAAAGACCACCTTGACAGTCCACAACACTAGTGGGGAAAATGTCCTGTGGACAGATGAGATGATGGTGGAATTGTTTGGGGAAAACTACGTATGGTATAAAAAGAGAACCGCGTACCAACATGAAAACATCATTCCAACAGTGAAGCATGGTCGAGGGAGCATCATGATGTGGGGCAGCTTTGCTGCCTCTGGACCTGGACTGCTTGCCATTGTGGAGGGGAAATGAGTTACCAAGTTTATCAAGGTATCCTACAGGATAATGTCAGGATGGCTGTCTGCAAGCTGAAGCTCAGAACAAGTAGGGTGATGGAGCAGGACAATGACCCTAAACATCAATGTAAATCTACTACAGAATGACTTCGGAGACACAAAATCCACCTTTTGGAGTGGCCCAGTCAGAGCCCAGACCTCAACCCAGTAGAGATGCTCTGGAATGACCTCGAGAGCTGTTCACACCAGACGTGGCTTTGCAAATGTTTAAGCTTTTAGAAAATCAGTTGAATCTGGAGCTGAAACTATTAGCCAACTGACAGATAATTGATCAGCATTTATTCATCATCATTTGAAGCCCTCTTTGGACTGGATTTATGTCTCCAGGGGAGGTAGGGTGATTTTAAAGTCCCCTGCACTGGTCAGTGATTTTATTCCGGTCTGGATTGTACAGTATGTGGGTTATTTTTCATTACAACCCCAGGGACAATTACAGCAGCAATTACCTGCTAATTCTGTCATCTGAATGCTCCTCCTTTAATTTAAATGCCATCCTAATGCAGTGGTTCTAGTTCTGCATTGTGTTGTAGAACAGAGATTAACCACACCTCCAAGGGTTATCTATGAGCAGTTTATTAATGTAACCTGTAGCTGTGGAGACAAGAACATAACCGAGGTTGGTTGTATTAATTGTACAGAACAGACCATTTAAATGTAGACAACATTTAAGAGAAACATGTTAACACCAGCATATATAGTAGGCCTCTTTGGGGAAACATTTCATCAGATGTGCTGTTATAAAGTCATCTACAGGAAGGCACGGTAGTCTCTTATGCTGCGTTTCCACTATCAGACCCTAACAAGTGGTATAATGGATACGTCACCCTGTATAACCCCCAGGTTAAGGTGGACTGTCCTGGTTTGTTTTTCCACTGTAGGTATCTTTCTGTGTCAGGGCTGTTTAGAGGATGGAGCCTTTTTTTAAGCAGATTTATGGACATTTACCCACATTTGACATTGAAGATAAAGATAACCTCAGGACGTGGAAGTCACACTGAATGATATCAATATGTGTTTCTCTATGTTCAGTTTTTAGTTATCACTACTCATTCTAAATTTACCAGTGATTAATCAAAACAATAATCAGCAATAGTTGAAAAAAAGTACATTTACTCAAGTACAAGTTTGAAGTACAGAGTATTGTCTTTTCATGTCACTTTATAATCCTTCTCCACTACATTTGAGAAGGAGATAGCGTTGTTTTTATTCCACTGCATTTATCTTGCAGTTATATTTCAGTTTCAGAGTAAGGTTTCATATTAAAAAACAAGTTTATTGAATGTTTCTGTATTTTAATGTTTTTGCTGTTAAGGACTGAACTAACACAACCTTTATGGGTTGTGCTCCTTTACAAACAAACAAACAAAAAACAAAAAAGTCTATTTTTCAGATGTCTATAAATTATTAGCAGTTGAACTAAATGGACATTTCACTCTCCAAATCAAATAGCTTCATTTGAATAAATGTTCCAATTATCCAATATTTACAATAATAGCAAAGATTCGTTGAAAAACAATCAAATATATATATCAGAACTTGCTTTTTTCTTCATCTTCTTCCTCATCTTCTTTCCTCAACTTTTAATCATCTCAGGCCCTCAAATGCCCCTTGTTGGAGGGGCCAATCCCTAACTAGAATGCGTACGTAACCAGTACATTTTTCTGATAACACTTATACTTATCTTTGCATTGTCATACTGGTATATGTACTTAGGTAGAGGATCTGGTCTTCCACTATTTGTAATTGATTATAAAAACAACCTTTAGTTGCAGCCCTATTTAGAGCATATTCACCTACAGAGTATCAAGACTGACATTTAATTAGCTGCAGATTCTGGAGATTGTCACATTTAGTTCAAGAGTGTACAAAGATATGGTTTCACTGTGAACCCTTGGGATGAATAGCCCCGCGGTCTCTCACAGAGATGGGATGCTGTGCTTCACGTGCAGCGAGTAGGTTAGTCCTCTCAATCAACAAACCAAAGAAAATAAGTAGAATCACAAAATGTCTCTCACACCTCCTTCACTGCACATAACTTATCAAACTGTCAACACCATGTGTATAGAAATGTTTGTCAGGTCATGTGTGAGCGTATGTGTGTGTTACTCACAGCCTCTGCGTTGGCTCAGTCTACTTTTCAACCATGGAACCCAGGTCTTCTCTAGAGGATTTTGAGTGAGTGTGCTTTGTGTTTCTGACATGGCTTGAACTGCCAAGTGTGTCTGTGTGTAGACTTCTGTACTATGCGTGTGTTGAATAGGAGGACAAAATAAAGAGGAGCTCTCCTGGTGAGCTTATAGACTTTGAACCGTCTTGCACAATGTCAGTGTGGGTGGACTGAATGAATCAGTCAGCACACCTGTTTGGCTT